GTCTTGACCATTGTAAATAGTGACACTATAAACATGGGTGAGGGTTCGTATGTCTTTACAAGTTAGTGTTTTCATTTTCTGTGGATAAATACCCAGAAGTAGAACTGCTGGATCATATGGTGGTTCTTTTTTAAATTTTTGAGGAATTTCCATACTGTTTTCCACAGTGGCTGCACCAATTTATACTCCCACCAACAGTGCACAAGGTTTCCTTTTCTCCACATCTCTGCCAACATTGGTTAGTTCTTGTCTTTTTCATAGTAACTATTCTAAAAGTGTGATAGCTCATTGTTGTTCTGATTTGCATTTTCCTGAAGATTAGTGATTAGTGATGTTTAGCACCCATAATATATTTTAAACCTGTTTACTTCTCTCCATCTCTATCCCTATTATCCATTAGAGCAGCAAGAGTCACACTTGAAAAAATAAATCAAATCACACTATTTTCTTGCTGAAATCATTCATTGGCTTCCCTTCATTTTCAGAATAAAATTCAAACTCTTTACTATAATCTCTAAGGCCTCAGATACACTCCCTGCCTACCTCTTCCCTTAATCACTATGCTCCTACCACATTAGCCTGTTACTGACACCAAGTTCTTTCCTGCCTCTGGGCCTTTGCACTGACTGTCCCCATGCCCTTACGGACCTTACTGTTTCCTAGCTCTGCATGGCTGCTTTCTCGTCATCTCCATGTCTTAGCTCAGTATCACGTCTTAATGAGGTTTGACAACTTTATCTAAAGTAGGTCCCTCTCTAGTTATTTACTATTATATCACCTAATTAATTTCCATCACAGCACTTATCACTGTCTAAAATTATTCTGTTTATTGTCTAATTCTTTCCATTAGAATTAGATTATAAACTTAATGAGGCAGGGATCTTTTTTTTTTTTAAAAAAGCTTTACTGAAATAAAGTCATATACCATACAATTCACCCATTTCAAGTGTATAATGCAATGGCTTTTGGTTTATTAAATTATTTTTTAATTGTGGTCAAATATATAACATAAAATTTGTCATTTTAACCATTTTAAGTATATAATTCAGTGACATTAATTCACAATGTTGTGCAAGTATCACTGCTATTTCCAATATTTTTAATCATCCAAATAGAAACTGTCACCATTAATTAATAAGTCTCCGATTTTCCTCTTTCCCCAGTCCTTACTAACCTCTAATCTACTTCCTGTATCTAGGAACTTGCCTTACAGTTGTTCATATGGAAAGTAATATAATAATTAATAAATAATAATACAAAAATAAATTGTTTTTCTTGTACTCACAACTTCAAACCCACTTTTGCCCTGTCTTGTTTATAGCACAACATAGATGCTCAATAAATATTTGTTGAATCAACTAATTCATCAATTTTAAGGAAGTTACAACTTTTCTGGATCTCAGTTTTATAGCTGTGTGATGGTGCTGTGTCACAATTCATCCCTTTATTAAACATCTTTAGAGAATTTGTAGTTTTAGACATTGTGCTTACTCATGAAAATATAATATGCAAAATAGTTATTGTCTCTGCTCTTAAGAAACATTCAGTTCCTTTTCTATTTGGAAATGTCTCCTTTGATTCTGTGTGCACTTAGGATGGAAATATAAAGACAAGGACATATATGGAAGTGAGCCTGTTGGATCACACGATACTACACTGGAGTGACAGATGTCGAAAGCCATGCTGTCTTCAAATTCGTTTGTTAGCTGCTCTTCTCACTGTGTGGCTGGTGAGGAGAGTCACACAAATATATCTGTGTACATTACAAACTGTAAATGTAAGGTAAAAGTATTATACTTTTTGATTTATTACATTTTATGCTTTGGGAACTAAAAGCAAAATACTATGCTAAAGGGAAATTTTAATATACTGATAAACTTACTGACAATTAAGGCGGGACCTTGTTTTTAAAATCAGTGTTAATTATACTGTGCCTGAGTTTTGCCAGGCTCATTTCTATAGCGGTAAATGCTGACCAACAAAGAATGCTATTTCCAGACAAAGGGGCTGACACTTGAAACGTATTAGTAAATGGTGCTAAAAACAAGCCATTTTGCTTTATTCACTGTCACCACCATGCCGGCACACACACGCCGTCAGACAGCAATGACAGGAAGAGGGCGAGCAGACCCTGCTGATCCTCTCAGCTCCTCACACAACACTTGAGGATTTCTGCTTGAAGGCCTGTCTTTCTAAGCTTGTGCTTTCAAACCCTGGGCTGGACTGATCCCAAATACTGAAGTAACAAATATTACTAAATTCTGTCATTTCCTCTACCAAAAAAGTGATTTTACTACTACTTCTGGTTGTGATGAAAGGTCCTATTGACTATTCATTCAAACCCTTAACCAAGTTATGGATGCAGTATTCAATGACTTCACTGCATTTTCTCTGGCACTTTAACACACGCCAGTGCTTTCATCCACCTCCACTAACACGGCTCGCAGATCACCGAGGCGCGGCCATTTTAACGGTGCGGTCGGTCCACGTCCCTCGAGACGGGGGATAAGTGAGGCTGGCTGAGAAGACAAACTCCATTTAACAACATGTACTGGTCTATATGTAGAGAAAAATAAACCTTTGAAAGTTAGACATAGCTTATTGATACATTACCTGGTTAGGAACCATGATAATTAATGGTTTTTTGATTTGTTATAAGTGGAAATGTAATAAAGTGATGGTAGAAAGGCCCAAGACAAAATGAAACATACCCAAGAAATGGTAAGATGTGGAAAAGAGTTGAAGCAAAGAGAGGTTAAAGGTCACAAATTTGCTACAAGTTTCTTCCTAAATGGTAGAAAACGGGCTTCCTGAATGAACTCTGAAACCTAAGGAAGTCTGTTTATAAGAAGTTTATTATCCTCTCCTTTTTAAACTGCCACAAGTTATAATTTTTTTTTTTTAACTCAGCATGATACTTGCTTTCTCTGGATTTACAGTGGTTAACCTACGGATCTTAAACACACACACAAGTGTAATCTCTCATTTTCAAAAAAAGTACAAGTTACAGATGATAAAAAATTACTAGAAGCAATCCACTTTTTAAACAGATAAATAAAAGTAGTTCAACATACTTGTGGCCTTGGTACCGTTAAGAATAAAGTCAGAGGCTACCTGAGAAGTGCTCCAAAGTGAGGACCAAGCAGATGCTGAAACTAAGAGTCTGGTGTGGAAGGCTGACTTCAAATTTCCCACTGCACACAGTCAGCCTCCACCTTTGTCCTGTTTTCAGAGCAAGCTGGGCTATTCTTAGCACCTCTTTACACCAACTTGTGGCATTCCTATTGGGCCCTAAGAAGAAAGAACTAAGTGTGCATATGTGTGTGTGAAGCTTGGTTTTATGAGGAGATCCAGGCATTTCAGTCCTAGCCTGAATCAGGAGTAGGTTTCACCAGGAGTCTTCCAACAGATTTCTGACCTAGGGTGTAGGCGCTTAGAAAAAGAAAAGAAGGAAAGAGGGAAAGAGGGAAAAAAAGGGAAAGAAGGAAAGAAGGAAAGAAAAGAAAGGAAGAAAGAAAGAAAATAGGGCAAGAAGAGAAGAACTCTGAACTTAGATCAGAACTCAGTTGTACTAAATGAGGCCAGTGTTACTGACAGCCTGACTCGCAGGCTCTGGACCCCAGTATTCACGTCCTCTCTTAGACGTTGGCTGACTTCACATGGAGATGCGCCCTAATTTACTTAGACCCTTTCTTCCTTAATGTACTCTTAGTCTGGCTGGGTCTTGACCAGTTCTAAGCATTGCCTTTTCCATGGTAAAATGACTGTGGTATGAGCCTGGCAGCCTTGAAATTAATGTCCCATTTTTTAGACTGAGATACTTTTCTGCCAAAAATGGAGGGAGGGAAAGCGCCAGCTGCGGGAAGAATGGCACACGAAAAGATGAGTCACGGGCCAGGGACTGTGAGCAGGGCACTCGCCTGGAGTGCAGACAGGAGCTGGTGTGGTGGCAACAAGAAAAGCAGCACAGCTGAGAGTGCAAGGTTATAAAGCAAGAGACTAAATGAGGACTGCAAACCAGAAATTGGATCCAATGGCAGAAAAGGATAAGGATCTTAATAAGAACCAAAGTAAAAAGTGAACTATTAGATTGAGTTTGGATGACGTGCAAAAAGGTAAAGATGGCACCACATCAAGGAGTAACTCTATGTCGACCAAGGATGAATAAGGGAGTTCAGTGAATCTTCAGATTCATACAAATAAAGGGCAATTTGGGCTCATATAAACAAAAGAATCATGAACCTTACTGTTTCTATACAATGGACAGCTCTGGGAATACAGGTGATAATGTCTTTAAGCAACAGCCAAACTCTGGATACGCCTCCACGTACTCTTCCAATTGGAAGGGTTTCCACATAAAAAACAAAGCACTGAAGCCGAACTTCCTTTACAACTAGAAAAGTTATGGAATGTCTACCTCTTGAAATAGAGTCAAGTATGCTAAAGAAATGCTGCATGTTTCTTTCAGGAAAATGCAAACCCAAGCCAACATCCTTTAAGTCTTTCCATGGCATGTAAAAAGACACCACTTAAATGAGATACAGACTGGCACGATGTTGAGAGTACCACAAAAATCCAATATGGGTTGGAAGGCCCACGGGATTGGTCTTTTTTTTTTGGCCCTGGGTCATATGATGAGAAGACCGTCAAGGACTTGTCAAAGTCCCTAAACTTGCACTCCTTAAACAACTCCCGACGCAAAACCAGCCCCTCTACAAGTGGTCTGGGAGAGCGAGCTATGTGTGAAGAGAGCTATTATTGGTCGAGCTGCAGAGGCAAAAGGTTATAAAGCCCACATTCAAGTATAGTCTACTAGCAAGTGGCAACCCAGTAATGGGCTTCTGAGTTTAGTAGGAGGATTCCAGTTTGTGCCCATTGCTTCTTGGTAGTATTTATAATGGCAAAGGCCAAAAAAGGACTTTGTATTAACACTGTAACTGGTTAAATAAAACAGTCAACTGTAGTTTATGTGGGAAGTAGGTGAAAGAGGAACTACTTACCTGTGCTATGTTTTTGTTCAGAAGATAGACACCGTAATCAAATTGCAACTTCTCCCCTCCTTTTGGGTATAATGGAAACCTAAAAAAAGTAAAGTAGGATTAGAAGTTTTCCAACATTTGGGTGAAACAACCTCAAAATTGTTGAAAAGGGTGGAAGTTTCTTGGATACAGTATGAACATCTGCAGACCTGCACTAAGTCCGTTATACTCACTGCAACCTATTATCTTAGCATCTTCATTACGTTAGTCAAATTAGAACAATGGCTACTGTGTTCCAAAGAAACAACTGAGTAGGTCATGCAACATGGGATTGCTATATTAGAGAGTGACCCCAGGGAGGGTGCCAGGGGGTGGTGGTGGTAGAGGGATTGAGAAAAAAAGGGGGTGGTGGGGTGGGAGAAAAAGAGAGAGAAGGAGAGAGAACTCATGGACACAGATGACAGTGTGGTGACTGTGGGAGGAAGGCTGGTGGAGGTGGAAGAAGGTATGGGAGGATAAACAGTGATGAGAAAAAATAAAAAATAAAATTAAATTAATAAAAGACCCACTAGCCCCCAGAAGTTAAAGCCACTGTGTTTCATGTTTACACATCATAACCATACCACACTAAGATTAAGATTCTAGAAAATTTTTCCTCTAATACCTTGGACCCAGCATCTCAAGTTCTACTAAATGGGAAAGAAAGAGTAAGAAAAAAATCAGGCATGAGAGCAATATGCACAATTTCTGTTTCATTTAAGGTGGTCAGTCAAATCAACAGCATTAATATGAGTAAAAATTCATAAAAAATCCATTCATATTCGCAGTGGTGGCTATTTGGATGTTATGTCTCCAAGGTAATGTACTCATGCCACAGAGCTCTCATAAGACTTTCCATTTTAACCTGACTCACAGAAGCAACAAAGGCAAGAGATCTGTGGATCTTTATAAAGATAATGAGTTATTTTAGGGAATAAGTTTCCCTCACTATTTCCCTTTTCTTACTCTTGCAAATGAAGAAAAGGTTATAGTATACCTATTTAGTCATATTTTCCCAATTCTTATGACCAAGCAAGCATACATCTTATCCTCTCAAATTAATTTCTCTATGAACAGATAGGGTCAAGGGGAAAACTCCACCTTCCTTAGTTTTGCAATATACAATTATTCTCAAGAATAAAATTATCTTACTGAAATAAATGGTAGGTGATAACTACTACATATCCTTAATTTCATTTGCCTGAGGAAAAGACACATCCCATATGGCCTGGAGGATATTGTTTTTTAGGGAAAACAGAAGAGAATTTAAGAGACTTAGATTAAGTTCTCGAAAGTTGCTGATTACATAGTGTCCAACAGGTAAATCTGTTGTGCTGTAAGTTCACAGGACTGGGGAGTGAGCAAGGTCATGAACTGTTTTTATTCCCTACTAAAGGAACATCAAATACTTCACATACCCATCAAGAAGATATAGCTTTATGCTTACTTAAAGCAGTAGAAAATAATTATGATATATGGTTTGGTCCTAAACTGAGATGCATAAAAATGACAGTAAAGCAAATTCAGGATAAATGAGGGAGAACACCAGGCTTTTCCGGGGCATCTGAGAATGCATCATATTTGTGTTGGGTAGCTTGCAGAGAAACTACCTATTTGGAAGGACCTAACAACAAGGGGCTGCTTTGGAAGAAATCTACTAGGCTCTGTACTTTATAGTTGTTATTCTATAAACCATCACATGTGGACAGTGCATAGCTCTCCAAATCCACACTTGTCTCCACTTCCAAATTATAAATACAGACACTGTATCAAAAATGTTGGAAGAGTAAACTGATGTAAGCATGCACTGAGGGCCAGGCCTCTCTGTATTTCTGAAACACTGATTTCACAACATTTTTTTTTTATTTTTACTTTATTGGGACTTCTTTATAGAAAGAGCCACAAAGAATGTATGTAACATTGAAACAAATCTAGAGTAATTAGAGCTGAAGGTTCAGATAGGGCAATTTTAAATCAGATCAAATATTAGGACAGAGTTCACATCTTACATTGCTTTGAAATTTTTAAGTGGTCACTTCAAGTTGAACAGTATAATATCTACAACTATTACATATTCATCACGCTTTGCAAAAGTGCATGGATTTGTATGTTTATTAAGCAATCTTAAAAAAGGAAATCTATTTTAAAAGGTAAAACCTGTTACCATCAAGACTAAGACAAAAATCAAAAGCACCTTAACTCAATACAGATAGAGAACCACATTAGCAAACCATAGATAGTGGAGATAAGCATGTGATCCTTCAAGTACAACCCGCAAAATGCCCTCAGCGCTGCAAACAGAATTCATTAAAGGGGAGTGCTACATTAAATAACTGGAGGAAGGAACTATACATTTCCTGTTATGACGCTCTTATGGAAAAGGCAACTAAAATGAGCAATATTAATTATTTTTCAAATTAAATTATATTTCCAAACTGTTTAAAAAAATTCAGACTCTACATGGTAAAAATCAATAAATTAGTAATGAAGAGATTATGTGTGAAGATGATTTAAAGCTCTTTGGTACAAAGTAATCTGAGTATGAAATAAAGAATTATGTCATAACCACCAGAAACCTAGTACGATCCCAGTCTACATTCAGAGGAACAGAACAGCAATGGGGGACGTGCTAGTGCCAACTACTGTGTGCTGGGTCCCACTACACTGAGAGATCTGTGTTCAGTTCTGTTCATTTTTTTTTACAAGTATACAGATAAATAATTGGAACCTTTCTTACAGCTTATGTTTCTTACAGGTTTTGCAATCATCTCATTTGACTACAGAAAGAATGTGGTGCAGAGAAGTGGTCCAGTGTTTTGGTATTTAAAAGAAAATGCCTGGCCGTGGTCATCTACTTAGTAGAAGAAATATGACCTCAGTATCAGGTGTTCAATTATAAACTCAGTATTATGTCTATTGCCTCTACGACATCTGGAGACCCAGCTCTGAGAGAAATCATGGAAGGAACCAGAGGAGTTTAGCCTGCAGCACGGAAGTCTCAGGGACAGCAAGTAAAGAGCTTTCAGAGAGAAAAAGAGGTTGGTTTTATTCTCATGGCTTCAAGCAGAGAGAATCAAAGTTAGAGGTAAAAGTTACAGGAAAACTGATTACACCACAGAGTTAGTGCAGATCCAAAAGCTCTTGGGTAGAGAAAGCCAATCAGAGACTGACCAACAAACAACGGACATGTCCTCAGGGGTTTAATGGGCTGAATGGTGGCCCCCAAAAGATATGTCCACATCCCAATCCTTGGAACCTGCGGATATGACTTGTTTGGGAAAAAGGGTCTGCAATTAAGTTAAGGATTTTGAGATGAGATCATCCTTGATTATCCAGGTAGGCTCTACATCCAGCAAGTACATCCTTATAAGGGACACGCGGGGGAGGGACACAGGAAAGAGGAGGTCATATGCAGCGAGAGGCAGAGACAAGAGTTACACAGCCACAAGCGCAGGGGGGCTTGAGCTACCAGAAGCTGGAAAGGACGAGGCAGGTTTTTCCCCTTGTGCTTTGTAGGGGGAGTGTGGCCCTGCTGACACCTTGACTGCAGACTTCCAGCCTCCAGAGCTGCAAAGGAATCAACAGCTGCTGCGGGCCACCATGTCAACTGCAGTTTGCTGCAGCAGCCCTAGAAACTAACTCAGGGGAACCAAACCCTGGGTGAGCCAGGAGACTAGGCGAGGCGTAATATCTCCTCCGTCTCCGAGATTCTATAATTCTCGAAATGCAAAACTAAACCATGAAGACAGCACAAGACTATAATGATAGACATCTGCCAAGGCTGCAAAACTGGCCTACTGAAGTAAATGGTATGCAAGAAAAGATTCCTGGTCTCCAAGTAGAAAGTGTTTTAAATTAAATTTTGATGTGTATGTGTGTATATACGTATATGTATAACAATTATTTTATGTGTGTGTACATGAAGATACATCCCAGTTTGGGGGGAAACTGTAAAAGAAACTGATCTTGGATCATCCTTTCTTAAAAAGATACAATTATTATAAGTGCTACCTGCCCTTACATGGTAAAATCTGGCTGTTTTATGAAGGACTACAACTTGGTGACAGTTTCTTGCTCTCATCTTCAAAGCCCCACATCCAGGTCTGGTTCTCTGAGGGCACCGCTGGGGATGAGGATGTGGTGGCAGTTGGGTCCGAACTCTGGCCGTGCGCACTCCGAGCGCTCCTGCCCACAGCAGCAAGACAGTGTGACCACACACGGTCGGTATGTCGTGAGGCCATGACTCGAACTTCAAACTTACTTTTCCAGTCCAGGTTAGTTTCCAACCGCGACTCAGGCTTAGAGTGACCTCCCTTTTTACTCACTTTCTTTGCCTTTTACGTGTGCAGTGATTCACCAAGTCAACAAATTATTTTTCCTGTGAAATAGTCTTATCTCTCTGTTCCCACTGCCACTCTGGAAAATTCTTTGTTGTTCTATGTGCCGTAGGATGTTTAGCAGCATTCCTGTCCTCTGCTCACTAAAATACAGTATTATTATTGAAAACTTTTTTAAACCATATCACTTCTCAGCCCTGTTTCCTAATCAGTCATTGTCTTAAATTTTAACCTCTCTGCCTAGCTATCAAGGCCTAACTGATCCAACCTGTCTGCCTCATTTATCTGCGACCTTATTATGCTCAAGAGATTTCCTCAGTGTCACAGACACACCAAATTCAGCTCTGTCTGCCTTTGCTCAATTCCTAGAAATGCCCATCTCTCTTTCCTTCGGCCTGGCAGAGTAAAAGGTACTACGTTTCACATCATCATGTCTAAAGAAAAAAAACTCACATTTTCTACTAAGTTGCATATCACTAAAGCTTTATCTCTAACTCATTGCAAGTTGGCGATAAGGCATAAGGCAGGTCACAGGCTTACAACATGGAAAATGGCTGGAGCAGAGTGAGGGACAAGGAAAAGGAGGGACAGTCTGAGGTGGTGGGTCCAGATCATGCAGGGCCTTGTAGGTCACAGCAAGGACCTCGCTTATACTCTGTAAGAGGGGAAGCTCTGGAGGATTCTGTAAAGAGGAGAGACATAGACACTTTGGCTACTCTCTGAG